TTTATTAATTTATCCTAAGAACTTTGTGTGAACATCTCATTTAATATTCACAACAATGCTAAGAAGTAGATTTAAAAAAAAATAAATAAAACTAAGGAAATAGCTCAACAACAAATGGTAGAGCCAAGATTTAAACCAACACAATCTGATGCTTGGAGTCCAAGCCGTTTCAACATGCCCAGGAGATGGGCCTAGAGCAGCATGAATTGTGCAGACCTTCAGAGAAAGCAATATGGCCTTAAATGTTAATGCCACCCCAGAAATAAAAAAGCCATCAGGATCTTGGCATTATCTATTCTTTGGCTACTTGGTAGAATTTACCTATAAAACTGTCTGGGATATAAAATTTTATATATATATATATGTATATATATATATATTTTTCCCCCTAGAGACAGGGTCCTGCCAAGTTATCCAGGGTGCCCCAAACTCAGGAACTCATAATCCTAATGGTCTCAGCCTCCTGAGTAGCTCGCATTACAAGCCTGCACTATTTAGTTTAAAATGTTGTGTTATTTGTTGTGAGTACATTTGAATTTTTAATAATTAAAATTTTATTTCCAATTTCAGTTGCTTCTTAAATTAGTTTTGGCAAATTATATCCGCTCTCCCACCCAGAATGTATCTGTGCCATTTACCAAGTTTTTGTCTCCCAGTTCCCAATCCACTCTCCCCTCCCCTCTCTTTCCCTCCCACCCTTCCTTTTCCCTTCCCCTCCCCTCCCCGCCCCTCCTTGTCTTGCCTTTCCTATTTCTTCATTTTCAAGAGTTTAGCACCAACGGAAACACCGCACTCCTTCCAGGCCTACCAATCCAGATTTGTTAGATTCTTTATTTCTAACTTTCCCTTGGAGTAGAGTGTTGGACTTAGGCATCTTTGCCAGTGCAGTCATTAGTCTAGCCTTCTATAAATGGTTATGAAGTTTCCACTGTTCTGGGCTTGCTGACTTTTTATTTTTGGCTTTGATTCTGATCCTTCCAACCCAACAGTTGCTCTTTCTCTGCCTGTTGATGCTGGAATCAGGACTCAGCAAACCACACTCAATTTAGTTTTGATAATCCCAACCCTAGGGATGCGATTTATTAACCTCGGTGTTCTCTCTTCACCTTTTCACCCCAAGGACACCTGCTTCACTGAGTCTGATTCAGTTCAGACTCTGAGTGACCACCCACATTGTCTGAGTTTTCTAGTTTATGCAAATGAAGTTGTTTATGGAATCTCTTATTTGTTAAAATCTCTGCAGTGTATGTTGTATCTTTTTTTTTTTTTTCACTCCTAATACATGTATTTATTTCAACTTAGTTTTTGACGATCTCTAGTAGTCTTGCTATGTTGGGTACTCTTTTATTTCCAAACTTTTCCCCCAACACCAGCAATTTACAGCTATAGATTTCTCATAAATTAGTGATTTAGCTGCATGTTTGAGTATATATATTTTTATTATTCTTCAAGCCTGTATACCTTCTGTTATGAGTTCTTCTTTGTTTCATATTTAAAAATTGTCCTTTTCATATCAATTTCTCAACTATTTGAATTGTGTTAAATCAGTATTAAGTTCTTTGATATTTGCTGAGAATTCCATTATGGTTCTAGCTGTGGTCAATTTTTATAAAGATTTCATATTTACAAAATATTTACATTTAGAGGCACAGGATGTTATGTGTGCCCATTAGATCAAGCTTAATTACATTGTTTAAATCTTCCATATTCATAGCTTTTTGATTTATTAATTCCTAAGTATGATATATTAAAATCACCTATGATGATGAAATTGTCAGTTTCTCTGATGTTTTTGCTTTAAAGCACTAGACTGCAAAGGACATACACACACATGTATGCATGCATATGGATATATAATAGATGTATATTAACAGCAACAGAGTATGTTGGCAGAAATCTAAAATTAACGCTTCTAAATGTCTCTTACTAGTGATTAGGCCATATTCATTACAGAAATAGTATGTAGCCATCAAAAAGCATGGATTGTTCTGCATTTACTAATTTACAGGGAGTTTTGTGCTAAGTGAAAAAGGCAAGTTATAGAGCATGTGTATTGTGATCCTATTTTTTAGTAAATGAAGCAGAAATCCCTTTATCTACAAATGTTTCAATATGTTTGAGTTTGAATAATAACTTTTAACACCAGTTTCCTCAGGGAAATGATTGAAGGGTTTGGGAAGGATAGCAGTAAAAAACATCTTTGTTCTCCTTCACTTCCTACAATAATAGTATCTTACTTAAGCAATTTAGGATAGGCCTAGGAAAAGAGATGTGATCAGCACTCATTTTAGGGGAACCAACAGGAAGATGCGGGCGTGTGGAAAAAGACAAGTCACAAATGTTATGATCTAGTCTTTGTTATTAGAGTGGGATGTGCCTCTTGATATGAACATAAGGAAATGTTTAGGAACATACACTTAATCAATATTTCTGTAATTAAGTAGAAGGCTTATTGAGGTTTTTTCACTGCTGCAAATACATGTATTGCTTACATTCATTTTACACATACATATTATGAGAAGTAGCCCCATGCATGGTAGCTCTCCCATACAGTTCTGGACAATTCATAGACCTGCTAAAGCCCACTGGTTATCACCTGAGTCTCTTCTCCTCTAGAAACATGGAGACTTTAACAGAAATAGTAGCTCACCTGTCAGTTTCTCCCTCCTATTCTCCTAAAGGAGCTGGCTGCAGGGGACTGTCTTAGTACTGAAAATTTGCAGGACTCACACCTGTGATGACTCCAACCTCACTTAATCAAAATGTGGCTTAAGTTTTTTATGCTGTTCCCACTCTGTGGGCAATGAGCTGTGGGGGGCGGGGGGCATGAGGACTGGGCTAGTGGCCTTGCTTCCAAACCATCTAAGACACTAACTCTGAAGAGGGGAGGAGAAGATAGGGACATGGCAGTTTAGTTTGTAAAACCATATTCAACGTTAAAACATAATCCTTGATAGTGAAAGAAAACTGTTTGGGTAGTATAAATTTGTCTGGTGGGAGCACGCCAAACAGAACTGAGCTCCAGAGAGATGAGAGGGGTAGCTGGAAGGCGAGCAGATGACTCTCATCTGAACCATGCTTAGGAGTTTGAACTTTATCCTGAAGGCAAACCAAGGGAATTACTTAAAGGGTCCAAGTTGGGAAGTAACATGAGTTGAGTGTTTTCAGGATTCGTTTGGCTGTGTGGTGGAGAAAGAACTGGAGAGAAGCAAGAGGAGGAGTTGGCATACTTGTTTGGAGGCTGATGTGGCTAAATCAGCTCAGGAGGTAATGGCTCTTGGGCAGTCGGTAAAAGCAGAATTAAGTGGGAATAAGGCAATGGTTTGGAGAAAGGTATTCTAGAGGTAAGATGACTCTTAGACTTAGGAATCTGGGGATGAGGAAAGCAAAGAGACTCCAGTTAGATTCCTAGATTTCTGTCTGGGGCAACTAGGAGAGGGTGGCTCCAAATTGAGACCAGAATGGTGGAATAGCATTGGAGTATTCAGGGGGATGAAAATGGAAAAGCCTAAATACACGTTATTTCTCTTTCTTTGACTTTAGGCAATTGACAGAAGGCCCAGAGTGCTCTGCTTTGTCCACCCTCCCCTCTGCTCTCAGAGGTCTCTTTGCCTTTCTTCACCATCTTCCCCATCAATGTAGCAGACGATACAGGTAAGAGAAAGTCACAGAGAGAAAGCGGTGCATTCAGTCTGAGGGTGGAATTTAATGATGACCAAATCAGACACGTGTTAATAATTGATATATATCTTTTTATTATGCACAGATAAAGGACTTAAAACTGTGGTTATCAAAACTATACATCTAAGCATGTTCACAAAATCGCTGACACACTGACAGAAAAAAAAGACAACAGGGGTGTTCAAACTGGCCACAGGGATTTTCAGGGTACTCTTTTTACCCTCATAGTTGATGAAAAACAGCAACAAAATCAGGCTCATTCAGGAAAAACCAGAAGAGAGAAGTATTGTATTTGGAAATTGATAATAGTCCTTTTTAGAAAAACATCTGTCAGTTTCATGAACAACCCCTAGATAAAACAAACAGGAAAAAAAAGTCGCATACAGGACTCACCCAACAAAATGTGCTCTGTTAACACAACCAGCAGTACAGTCATCATTCAAACTATGAGGTAGTTACAGTACAAAAAGACTGGCACGCGTGTGCGCGCCCCACACACACTCAGTCATGCCCGCTGAGAACACACGCAGGAAATGGATTTACAATCTTATTACCACACAAGGGAAAGACCATTTTGTGTTTAGAAAATGCTATAGAAACAGCTTAGACAGAGAGATCTCTGACTTCAAAATTAATTTACAGAATTAACTGCTGGTGAACACCACGTGGTGAGAAGCTATAGGATGTTACACAGACTTGGAGTTCAGAGCCTTTCAATAATAGCTTCAGCATCCACAAACAAAACAAAATGGCCTTTGCAAATTACGGGTGTAGCCTGCAGAAATAACACATGACTTGGCAGATAGAATTGAGTTCAACTGGAATATAAAAACAGATTTAAAGAAACTTGCAGAACATGTTATAAAAGTAGAACTTGTACTTTGTATTAAAACTGTGAAGATGAAGCAATCAGAAATGCTGTAATAAGAAGCTGGGGAGAAAACACACTATTTTTTAATGTTCATTGTTTAGAAACATTTCAGAAATACCTAAGGACATTCACTCTCTGAAATGGGATCAGGTTTCATTTTTAGCATGGGATTTCTTGATCTTTAAATAATACTTCTGACAATGAGACCCAAACAAATAAAGGTGATTTTTTTTCCTTCTTTTCTCTCTAACTCTCTTTTTAAAATCTTTTGGTGTGCATCTATAAATTTGTAAATTAATTAAAATTATTTATAAAATCATTGGCAACATAGTATCTCTCTCAAAAATATACATTTAAATATATTACAGAAGTTTTTTTTAACCCTGTCCATCTAAGAAATGAATTTTTTAATACCTCCTCATAGCTAATTTTGTTTTTAATAAGATGGAAAGGGTTTCTTTAAAAAGCAAAGAACTGATCGAAAGAATTCACAGTAACTGAAATTAAACATTTCATAGGGAGTAACTTAAATTTATCTAAAACACTTAAATATATCTTTATACACTTTTTTGTAGTAAAATATAGCTATAAGTGACTTAAAGACTCTAGTCTTCTTTGAAGACATCTTTAAATTTTTTTATACATAGAATATGCTAAAACAATACATTCTGCTGAAGGTTAGGCAAAGCGCATTATTTTCAAACACAGGTAGCGTAATCCAGGTCCTCCACTCTGATACCCTTATGTTAAAAAGAATAAACTAAAGGAAAACATTTCTCTAGTCTTGTGTTGTCTTCAATGCATACATGGAAATCTGAAAAAAGTTCAACTTATCAATGTAGGTAGCCTGGAAATCTCAGTGCTAAAGTAATCTGATTTGATTAAAATTGTCTTGATTGAATGTCTACACCTATCCAATCAATCACTAGTACTCAATGACTGGATGATAGTGATTTCCATCTCCTCTTACTTGTATTACACGTAGACACTCCCTAAAGATTTGAGTTTCATCAGCATTTATTATTCCATTTGCAGAGGACCAGGCACAACTGCTTTATTTTTAAGGGCAGTAAGATTTGCTTATGAATATTTGGGGGTGAATCTATTTGTTTTATTTATGGAATCCTAACTCATTTGGGGGAAATTCTGGAAAAAGAAAACTATTTAACTTGCATTGAAGCTGTCTTCAGAAGAAAATGATCTGGCGTGGGAATCCTCTTCTGGCATTCTTTTTAGCATAAAGGTATCGCTGAGCTTTATTTAGCTGCAAAGTGGCATCATATTATTCCATTTCATGACATTCACTTCAAATCCTTTTGGAGTTTGGGATATATTTAAGGCAAGAGAACTAAAGCAATCCAAATGAGTGCCTTTCACCCTATTGCAGCTCTGTCTTGGCAGAATTGGTGAGGCTATTCAGATTACCTATAGGACTCCAACAGGATCTGCCAGGCATTTGTGTCTCATGGGGGCTTGGATTTTACAAAAGGGCTTATGTTGATATGTTTTGAGTAGAAATTCTCATTCTACCAAATATGACTTAAGAGTAAATTCCAACTCTGGAATCATAGAACATTTTCATAGGGGAATGAATTTTTCTCTTCTTCAACTGAGAAAATGACTGTGCCAGATGACATATTATACACTTCTACTTACATACGCATATACATAGATCAACTTGCAAATTTCTCCTCAACTTTACAACTGACTCTTGCCCCAATTTAGACATTAATTTATCAGGGAAAAAAATGTAGGAGATGGACACAGATCAATAGTTCCAGATTTTGGCTATCTTCAATTTCTATATGCCTATACGAAATATGAAGTTTGCATTAAGACATTTTTGTAGTTGGTGTGTGTAAGTGTGGGGAGACACAGGAAGCTGACAAGGCAGTCAGCACTGGTTTTGGCCCAAGACACAAGAAAGGAATGTTGCCTTGACATGTGGCAGGATGCAGTCCCCAAGGGCAGTCAACACCCAGTTAACCACACATCGGACCCCACAGGGCATGGCAGGTCAGAAGTGTGCATCCAAAGATGCCCATTAGACACGGAGGAGTGCTTAGAAAGCCTTAAAGCATTTCTTTTGTTTTATGTCTTGGTTCAGATATAAAAGAATCTTTGGCCACATCTCCTCATTGAATCTGCTGACTAGCTGTTATCCTTTTACCACCTCCTTGAGTCTGGGTAAAAACTCAGGGTTCCAAATTATGGATGTTCTCACCTGGACAAAGCAGCATTTAAAAAACTGGCATGTGTTTCACATTGAAAACCCCCCAGCCTGTGAGGGGCTGGTGGAGAAGGCCACCATCTTAGCTTTTGCACATGAAATCTAGTGTGTTACAGAAGTCCAGGGGTCACGCTTACATTGGCCATGGTGAGGGGTGAATACAACAGGTGATCTTTACACTGAAATTCACTCTCCCTTTACAATGGAACCAAATTCAAGCCTTCTGAGTCTGGACACACACCATCAGCTGTCGCGGGCCCAGCTGGGTCTGGCTAGGCTGTGCTGCTGCTGGAGCATGGTGTGCTCTGAGTGCTACCGATGCTGTGGGCTGCACTGCTGTTTTCAGAGGCTGGTGGGGAGGTGGGGACTTGCTGTCTTCCTGCTGTCTCCCCTGTAGTTAGTAAAGAATTAAAGCAAAAGAAGGTGCATGTTACGTGTGTGGAAAAGAATCTTTCCCCCAGCTTTGCCATTTATCTATTCTTTTTCTCAGCCACAGGCAGAAGCAACTAGCCCAGGTCCTGGATGGCTGGAAGACCTTACCTTGTAACGTTTTTCTGCTTGTTGCTTTGCTTTGAAAGTCTTGTGCACAGGGAAAAGAGGAGGGTTTTCCTGTTGGCTAACAGGCAATCTTAGTGGCTAAGACCTCTGACAGTTGATGACAAATGCCCTGGATTTCAGAGCCTACAGCCTTTGAATAAACACCACACACATCTGGACTGTGTAGGACAAGTGACCAGTACCTACCTGAACTTAGGAAATGCTGTACCTTCTCTTATAAAGATATTATACTTTGGAGGCTGAGACCTTTAAATTATAATAAGGAAAACTTGACAGTTTGGGAGCCTTTTTATTTTTGGTGCTAGGGATTGAACCCAGGGGCTTGTACATGCAAAAACACATGCTCTTCCAATGAGCTACACCTTAACTCCTGGAGGCCTTATTTTCTGAAAGCTCTTGTTTAAAACTGGGCTGGTGAAGTCTAGATTGTGCCCTAGCAACAGCAGAGAGTCTTGTGTGCCAAGCATACGACCTACCTAGGAAGTGAGAAGGGGAGGGAGGCTGCTATGGGAAAAACTTTTGGGGGAAGGGGCTTAGCTGTTTGCATATAAAGACTGCAGTGGTTGCCAGCAAACACCCTCCTTCCAGGCTGAGGTTCGCTGCTGAGTGCAACGTGAGTATCTCCTAACACATTAAGCATCCCACTTTTCATTACACACTCCGCTGCATTTCAGCTAAACCCATTCTTTGTGCCAAATGTGCAGGGCTGTGGAGAGGGAGGAAACCTCGGGTCACACACATGGTTTGCATTTAACAGTGCAAAAGGCCCTAGAATTAGTCTTCTCTTCAGCAAAACTGGCCTCAGTGCAACCCTCAAAAAATGGCTTTAGGTAGGGAAAAGTGATCAGGGCTCTCCAAAGATATGCACTGCATTTTCTTTAAAAACTCAGAGCACAAACTCCATAAACTTCTTGTAAGCATTCTCCCCCCTCCAATGTAGGAAGCCCCAGAGGGCCAGGTTTGTTTAGGAATGAGCCTGCTCTTTCCTGTCATGCTGAAATACACATCTATCAGCTGGAGATAAGCAACCCTCCCTTCTGCTTCATTAAAACAAAACACCCGAGCAAATGCTCTGCCCTCCAAATACAGGAACTTGAGCCCGTAACTTCCATTCCCTTTCGGGGGGCCCCTCAAAAGCATCTGCCAAAAGAGCAGCTCTGTAGAATGTAGAACCGGCTTGTGCCCCTGGGTCTGGTTACAGTTCTTGCTGTCACCCATTTTATGAAGTAAGCTCCACACACATTTGCATCGACCTCAGAGCATTTATGTGCTTGCTGTATGGCTGGCCCTGTGTTTCCTCTAATTATCTTTTCTTCTGGGATTGGTGAGATGGAGGGAGAAGGGGGTCAATATTCCCAAGAAGCAGGGAAACTATATTTACTCTTCTTTTTTTGGAAAATTATATTTTAGACCTTCACCAGCATTGCCCCTTACCCTTCATGTGTAGTTGTAATTAAGGGTGGGAAATCTGCTTCAATGGCAGTAACTTTCTGCCAAAGATTTACTTTCCCCAGAGTGGGAGCTTATTTCTAGAAGAGGATCAAATCTCAATCTCAATCTC